AAAGAGGCTCTTTCGAAAGCATCTTTCGAAAGAGCCTCTTTCGAAAGATCGCGTCTAGACTGCAGGCGGATCTTTCGAAAGAGAAATCCGCTTTTTCAAAAGAGAGCACCCAGCGAGTCTGGATGCTCTCTTTCGAAGACGGCCTCTTTACATTGAAGAACGCCTTCTTTCGAAAGAGGAACTTTCGAAAGAAGGCGTTCTTCCTCGTAAATTGAGGTTTACCGCCATCGAAAGAAAAGCCGCTTTCTTTCGAAATAATTTCGAAAGAACGCGGCTTGAGTCTGGACGCAGGGGAAGTTTTTTCGGGAAAAGGCTACTTTTCCCGAAGAAACCCCTGAGTCTGGACACGGCCTCTGAGACAGACCAATGGGAAGGAATGTTCAGTCAGTCACTACGCTAATTAGCAAGGCTCCAGGGACAAGGTTCTCAGAGAGACCAATACGCACCTGAGGAATGTGACTGGGACCTGCAAACCAGCCAGTATCATGATTGCTGGCATGGGACACAGGGATAGGTCACTGGGCCATGTGACCTGCTCCAGCTTAAAAGATACCAGGGATGGATCTAAGATGCCGTGAGGCAGACTCCATCTTGCCTTCAATTCTGCTACTGATCCCAGATGCAGCCTCGTGAGGAACAGTGAGCTGGGGAGAGTTGTTGGCCCATCCTGACATAGGATGTACACCAGAGACTTTTAAGATAGTAGTTTATAACATCTCAGCTAAGAGCCTGTATCAAGAACTGGGAGATTCGATGCATGTAATGTATTCTCCTTTAACAACCTCACTCTCCTGCTTTTCTTTCTTTCATTAATAAACCTTTAGATGGTAGATTCTAAAGGATTGGCTCAGCATGGTCTTGTGGGTACGATCCAGAGTGTAAATTGATTGGGAACGGTGGCTGGATCTTTGGGAGCAGAAAGACCCGTTCGGGGTAGGTGAGATCGGGTTCTAAAACCCCTCACCTGTGTGCAGGCCCGGGGCGGATTGGGGCACAGGGAGAGCTGGGGTCTCTGAGGGGTTTTGCTCAGTGTGACTGGTGTGTGGCCTGAGCGAGGACGGTCTCCAGTCAGGGGCTGTAAGGAGCTCTGATTTTGAGCAATTTGCCCTGAGCGGGCGCCTTCAGCAGTGGCCAGACCTGGCCTGGTCCATCACAGGAGGGTAGAGGTGTGACAGCTGGAGTCCCAGCGAAATGTCAGCATGGGCAATTAAAGCTGAATTCTCTTGCCCTGTCCTGTCCCAAACCCTGCTTGGATTCACCCCAGAGGCCTGTATGGGCGCATCTCAGGCATGCACCAGTCTAGTCTCCCAGCACCGCACCGTCATCACTTCATGCAGTCTCCCG